ATAGTCTAAACCCATCTTGGTGCATTAATAAAAAATGTCGGGAAGACAATTTTACTATAAACATACCCTGACCCTAATACTAAGCGAAGATCTCATATTAACGATATAATCATAATAAGCAGTATAAAGAGCAGGTATGAGCGTTGGAAATGGCGCGTTTTGGTATACGTATATATCCCTATTAACGTCAGTGAATAAAATAATTAAATATCAAATTTAAACCGATAAATTATTTAACAAAAAAAAAATTTTTTTTCATAAATGAATGCATGAAAGTGAAAACCTGTAGCCAATCATCATAGTAAATCATTAAATAAATTCCAGGTTTTTTCACACACTAAAATCATACCTTATAAAGAAATCCCAAACAGCCAAATCCGGTATAGTAGTATACGCGTAAACTTCTGATTCAGTCATATTATAAAACGTAAATCCAAACAAGCTTGATCCCTTAACATAAGAGATAGATATGAAATCTGAATCATCCTTACACTTTCTATTAACATAACCGTTTAGGATGATAGTCCAAATGAATTGATATTCACAAGATATTAAGTCATTATAGGAAGACTCATCTGAAGTAACAAATTTAATTGTGATTGGCGGAGCCCAGGCAATGTAAAACAAATTTGTATAAGATGCAGTAGCAGTTATCACTCTATACGTTGTACCATTTGGTAGGTATCTATCCTCCTGAACTTCATAAAAGCCAGGTGTCAGAATTCTTAATGAACGTGAAATCAGGAGTCCAAGCTCAATAGGATTAGATGCATTTAAATTTGTAGTGGAGTTATCATTGCTAACACCGTAAACATCGCGAGTAGTAAAGTTGGAATCTTGGATAAAATCGTGATCGGGAAATTTTGAAATAACATAATCATACCGATCATTAATCGCATATAAATATCTCAGGCTCAATTGATATTGGAAAGGAATCTTTGAGGTATCATATTCCGTAACATAATCAGACTCGGTAAAATAATACATGAGTCCGAAAGTAATGACTATTAATAACAGAATGGATACAGATAATATATAACACACTATTTTGGGATTATCGTCTTCAAATTCAAATCTTAAATTGTCAGACATCAAAAAATCATCAGTATCACTGGAATTTAGCTTCTCTCGTGAATCTTGCGCACCTCCTCCATAAGTAGCACGTGCATCTGAATCCTCCATATTTATTCTAGAATCTCTAGAATCTTGCATCTCTTCTCTAGAACCTTGCACTTCTTCTCTGGAACTAGATTGTGTACCATTTTGTGAATTCATTAATGTAGATGTAAAATCATACGAAAAGGTTATTTTGTTTGAAAAGGTTTAAAAATGAAGTGTGGCTTATTCTGGTTCGTACGTACGTACGTATGTACGAACGTATATGAGAATGTGTGGCTCATTAATTGGGCTGTGAATGTTTTTCCTAAACATTTTCTCAAAACATCGCATGATGAAACAGTAGGTTATTTAGTAATATTACTATACTATGATATGATTATTGATGATTAGTAGAGCAAATTGTTTATAATAAACAAAAATTCTTTAAACTTCAAACATCCAATTTATTTAAATTCTACAAATATATAGAATTAATTAAAATTGGATATGTTGCCAAGTTATTCATTCACGTTCAAAGTTTTGAAAAAAAATTTTAATATAAACAATTTTCTTGTTTTCTATTGATCACCCTTCATATAATATGCATAACAACTCTATTGTAAAGTAGTACTATACAATAATGCAGACGCGCAGAAATTTAGTACGTACGTACGTGCTAAACTAAAAGCACTTTTAAGCATAATGTAACCTTAGGCAGATGTTAGCTTCAAGCATGAAATAATCATAAACAGTAGAATATTAAATATATGGATTGATGCAACTTACACGATAGCATAATAATTAGAACTCGTGTTAAATTCGAAAGACAGTTTAAAAATCAATGTTAACCTTAAGAATTCATTTTATTTTTGAAATTAATCATTCGCACAAACGAATAACATTTTTTTTTTTTTATAAATTTCATTTCGCTCGGCAATAAACTGCACGCTTTAATTTGTATTAGACAAATTGACTTTAAATTCGACTTGTAACCTCAATAGACGAAGATAGTAAGCACTGGTTAAAGTGGAACCTTTATAAGAACTATTATAATTCGAATTCTGCGAATAATCGAAACTAACATTTACAAATAAATCATCACAGTAAATTATCCGGTTTTTTTTTATACTAATTAGGATATTTATACATAGGAAGAGCAGAATTTTATAAACATATATAATCATATATCGATAATACTTTGATTAGATTACATACCCGGATGGACTAATCTTTGTTTTTACATCTGTAAGCTTTTTTACCGCCTATTTCTTGAACGTTTCCACGAGCGGAGCAAGTCTAGATTGTTCACAAATTTCTCCAATTCCTTCAGCCGGTAAGGATCTAAAGATTGGAATCGTTTAATCTTTTAAAAAAACTATTGGACCGAAATTATGTTGGTCATAGGCCAGAATTATTTAATGTTGGCTAAATTAGGCTAAATTAGGCGTAGGGTTGTAAAATTACCGTAATTTGGGGACGTCTAAAGCCGTGTCCAGTCACGTGTTTTTTGTTTTTAACTAAAGTTAGGGTAAGGGTTAGTTTGGGGTTA